CATCAGTATTTCGTACCAGATTAAAGGAATTGTTCTTTTACAGATGTGGGAATTCAGTAAATGTCAAAAGCCGATTCATGAATGGAAAAATGCGAGTACAACTATTTTAAGCAATCATTTGTCTGAGTGCGCATTTAATGTTCCAGAAAAATTCAATCATGATCGCATCGCTTTACTTCCGACAGTTAAACAAGCTTTTTCAGAAACAATTCATCCTATTGGGGGTCGAAATCAGCGCCGTGTGGAACAAATTGTACAGTCTATTAGGTTTTGATTTTTGCTTATTTTTCTAGTGATACACACAAAAAGTGCAATTGTATCAGAATGATAAGTAGCTTTTCGTATGTCATCAGCTCTGTTAATCTCTAAAATTCGTTAAGAAACAAGCAAGCGTGAATAACACTATTTCTTATTTTCTATGCCTAAATGCTTGGAAAAAAATTAAATGCTGGTCTGTAGCACGGATATTTTCATGTTGTTTCATTATTCCACTTGCTGAAAATTCTTGAATTTTTCAGTAGATGTAAGAGAACGAGAGAGAGAGAGGGAGAGAGAGAGAGACAGTTCATATTATCTTCGACAATAGTGTTAATAATAAATGTTGTTTAATAGTAAGGTTGTTTAATAGAAAGAATGGTGCAGTTGTAGGTGCTGGTAATCGTCCTGGATTTTATTATATTGTTACATATGTGCTGTTGCAATAGGATGTTGTTTTTCATCTATTCATCGTTCAGCAGAAAATGAAAGTATTTAACATAAGAGCGATCAGTAAGAAAGAAAATTCAAGTTAGATCATATCTTTAGTTATCTTAAGCTTTTTAACTTTTTCCTTTTTAATTTAGGACTGGAAATTGAAGGAAAGACGTTGGAGAATTTTCATAGGTATCTATAACTTATTCTTATTTGAATTTGATGTTTAAATTTAATTTACGAAGTCAAACTTTTAACGTTATGTTATGTTGAAAATATTCCGGTTTTCTGATTTTTGTAGTTATTCTCTTCCATCATGTTTTTGTGTGTCTACTTATGACTACTTGTGATTAGTTTGTGATTTCATTTAAATCTCGGGTCATTTTCCATAGTTTTATTGCAACGAAACAAACTTTTTTCTCTTTTCTTTTGTCACAACCACTAACTAATATAAATTGTATCATTTATAATGAACATTGCGCAATTTTCTTCATATTTCCTTCCTCTATTCTTGCGATTTTGCTAAGTTTTCATTTTGTAATAAATTTTTGATCTGCCAAACAAATTTTCTTTCTTTCAAACTGTTATTTTTCAAGTTTCCAATTGAAGTGGGATTGGTAAATTTGATAAATTAAAAAATTTATTTAAGATTCAAGCTGAGAAATGAGTACTATATCGGAACAGTCATTGAAGTAATCATCGAAATGATCTTATCACATTCAGCTGCGAGTATATTTTCCATTATCGCCGCTAACATTTCATTTAATTGACAAAATACAAAAACCTTAGTTTTAGTTATGACTTTTATCGAAAAAAAAGCAACACTTTTTACTTAAGTCATCAGGCAAAAGATTGTAAACAACCATAAACTGACACAAATTCTGAAATGCCGAGCTTACATCTGTTTTGGTTCACTAGCGATGTTTTTTTCTTTTAACTGAAAGAAATTGCACATTTTCAGTAAAATGTATGAAAAGTTTGGACTTTTTTTCTTTCATATTAGAAAACCTCCGCTATGCATATTTTATTATTCGTATTTTCATTCTTTACATGCTTCATTTCGTTAAAATTGCTGGAAAAAATAAAAAGAATCAAGTTTCTCCAACGTATTGGAAAGACTTGTTTTTTTTTCTCTTTCTCAGTAATTATTTTACTTATTAATTTTAAAAGTCGGATTCTTTTTTTCCAATTTTGCAGCATATATTTAACAGCATCAAATCAACAAAAAAACATTTTGTTTGAAAAAGGAAAAAGTGAGAATCTCCATTTGTTCGCTGGAAAACTTGTTTCTTCATTAATTGTTCAAGTTTTTATTCATTTTTCCTCCTTCATTTTTTTTTCAAGACATAAGGAAAAAATCATGTTGAAATTTTAAAAAAAAATCAATGGCAAGGAAAAGAAACTTCTATGACAATTATGATTAAGTTGAATTTCGATAACGAGGCGTAACTGATTCACTTATTAAAATACGTAGTAAAGGCTTAGTTGATTTATTACAATGGATAATTATATTAAAATAGTTATACGAATTCATCTTTAATATATCTAACAAATAGATTACTATGATGAAATTGATACCATCATTATTCATTTCTAAGTTTCGCTTCTTTCTTTCACTTAACAATTTCATAAGTTCGGAAATTTAATTTTAATTTTCCTTAGCCACTATTCTCTATATTTAAATTATTCATATGATCATTTCTCTCCATAAACATTTTAGTTTCAAAAGAAACAGAAATACCATAATTTTTGTTTTATAATTACTTACATTTATTAAAGTGACATTTTGGTTCTTTCCGTTTTTTGAAATTTATTGCATTTAATATTGTATAAATACGTAAGTATTATTAAATAATATGAATTATTGAATAGAAAGTATTAATGAGAGAAATGAAAATATCATGTAATATTTTTGAAATAACTTTTTAACATCAAATAATATGTCATTTCTTTTTGTGTTGTTAATATTTGTCTAAAATATTTTACTTAATAATGAAGTATTGCATATTTAGATAATATATCAATTTTTAATAATTTGACTATTCCATCATTATTTTTGCAATATTGTACCAAAATTGGCAAAAGCAACCGTTGATAACTTATCAGTTATATTTGAATTTGATAGTTTTTCTATTTGAGTACATTTGTAAAATATTTGGCTTCATTTATGCTTCCATGTTTTTCATCATTTTTCATTTTTATTTTTTTAAAATGAACGAAATATGGTTTTTTGTTGACAATCATATGTATATATATCACTTTTCTGAAATATTTTTTTTTTTATAAAATATTTCAGAAAAGTGATATATATACACATCGGTTTATTTTTTTTTCATATTCCATCTTAACTGTTCTACATGAATGCAAAAAAAGCTAAAAAAAATTCATTTGAACAGTGAAAAAAATTCCTTCAGCTTATCAAAAACTTTATTCGATGATTGTGTTCAAAGTTTAGCATAAATTTTATAATTAAGTGGCAGAAATGGAAATGTTTGTTTCATTAAAAGATTTCAATGCAATGCAATTAATGAAAGTTATTGGAGGAGTATTTTTAGATTTATATTGCAGAATTTACTG